CATGAAGCTATGATATGATGAGAGATATACTGAAGTCAGCTTTGTACCAGGATACAAGATGTTGTTGTATAATCCCAGGAATACCAAAGGAAAGTCTCCTAAATTGTCTTCTCCATGGGAAGGCCCATATGACATAGTGGGACATCTCCCAGACGTCACTTTCTGAATAAAATGTGGTCGGCGACGTAAGCCAAAGGTGGTGCATGCCAACAGGCTTTGGTGTTATCATGGTCCAGGACATTTCAGTTGGAACAAAGTGAACAATGGAACAAATGACGCTGCTGAAGACGTGTCACCTGAAAAAGCCACTGTCGAAGAAGAAACTCTTCCCGGTTTTGAGAAGGGAAACCGTGAAACCTTTAATGAAGTTACTACCACTGATGTGACTGTTACCGATAATGGGACATTTCCTGATGGAACAGATGAACCTCACGTGAAATAGAAGCCAACGAGACAGAGACCAGTACGGAAGAAGATACGTCCCATAAAATTAAGAGACTTTGTTGAATTTAAATTTTATGTTTGTAAATTCTGTACATTTAATTAAGTTATTGTTAATTATCTATTGGTTTAATGTAAGTGGCTATTGTTCGGGACGAATAATACTAAGGAAGGGGCAGTGTTACGACAGCGGAAGTCACGTGACCCTGGTGACACGTCATGAGATTCTCGAAGGATCCTGACTTTTCCAGGCGCCCTCTATTTTAGTATATAAGCCCAGCAAATAATGGCAGATAGATAGATATAGAGACAGATAATTGATTCAAGCTACCTGTAATATAAAGTGTGTGTTTTGACTGTGGAAATTCTGTGTATTGCAAAGTTGTATTGAGAAAGAATAAACTAGTTTTAATTAAGAAAGGACTTGTATGCTGAAGTTTCACGGAAAGAATTTCTACGTGAAATTAACAAACAAACAGAGATGTAACAGCTCTAAACATATATATATATATATATATGTTTAACTTACTTTATCAAAGGTACTTAACTATTTAACTTGCTTTATAAAGTTTCCATAAAATACTAACTTACATTATCAAATTTACTTAAAATAAATAACTTACATTATTAAATGGACTTAAAATACTTAATTTACTTTATCAAATGGACTTAAATACTTAGCTTTCTTTACCAAATGTACTTAACTTACTTTATCATATGTACTTAATATAAATTACTTTATCAAATGTACTTAAATACTTAACTTGCAGTGTCAAGTTTACTTAAAATAAATAACTTACATTAACAAATGTACTTGAAGTACTTAATTTGCTTTATCAAGTTTACTTGAAATACATAACTTACATTATCATTGAAACTAGTGCTTCTTGTTCAAAAGTATCATAAATTGATGCTTCTTGTTCAAATATGTCAGAAACAGGTGATTTTGGCTCAGATATGTCAGAAACTGGTGCATTTGGTTGAAATATGTCAGAAACTGGTGCTTCTGATTGAAAGATGTCAGAAACTACTACTTCTGGTTCAGATATGTCAAAAACTGTGTTTACTGTGTATGTCAGAAACTGGTGCTTTTGGTTGAAATATGTCAGAAACTGGTGCTTCTGATTGAAAGATGTCAGAAACTACTGCTTCTGGTTCAGATATGTCAAAAACTGTGTTTACTGTTGTAATAAGAGAAGCAAGAATTATTACAAATTAACAGAAATGTGAAATACAGCAGAGCCCACACACACATTAATTAAGTAAATATTTATATATGCTGTTAGGAATAGAGAAACTGAAACTGTTTTTTAAAACACTACATGTGAAAAGAAGATTAGAAAGTAGCTAATTGTCCAGGTAATTATAGGCCTATTAGTCTTACATCAGGGTGGTATAGCTTAAAAGTCTGACAAAACATGCTTTGTAAAGTCATTTAACAAAGTTTAGAATTTTGTTAGATAGTCAGCATGATTTCACTAGGGCAAGATCTTGCCTTACTAACCTTTTAATATTTTTTGAAGGGGTTGTTGCTTATATAGATGAATGTATAGTTATGGATTTGACGTATCTGGATTTTCAAAAAGCATTGGACAAGATACCACATAAAAGGCTTTTTACAGAGTAATCTCTTTAGGTATGGGGGCCATGTTGACTCATATGATAAAAACTGGCTAGATGGAAGAAAGCAGAAGATTGTTATAAATGGAGTTCAGTCAAACTGAATTAATGTTACAAGTGGGGATACCTCAGAGCTTAGTCTTAGGACCTTTTCTCTTTTTGGTTTACGTACTGACATAGATGAACAATTGGTCAACAGATTATTTAAATTTGCTGATGAAATTAAGGTTTTGTGTGTTGCTGGCTGTGAGGAAGATGCTGCTACTTTACAAAAGAATATGGATTATTTGGTGAGTTAGGCAAATAAATGGCAGATGGCTATTAATTATAATTAATGCAAGATAGTGCATGTGGAATATCACAATTTGAATTATGAGTATAATTGTGATGGAAGAAAAAGATCCTGGTGTTCTGGTTGATCAGTCCTATATCCCAGCCAAGCAATGTGTTGTTCTTAGTGGTAAATGGGATTTTAGGTTGTATCTACAGAATTATTTAATACAAGTCTAAAGAGGTTATAATGTCTTTTTATAGGTTGTTGATTACGTTTGTTTGTTTTTAATTATGCACAAAGCTACACAAGGGCTATCTGTGCTCTGCCTGCCACGGGTATCAAAACCCAGTTTCTAGCATTGTAAGTCTGCAGACATACCGCTGTGCCACTGGGGTGCTATTGATTAGGCCACACTTAGAGTCTTGGATTTTTTACCTCATAAAGGTCACTGTATTGTTGGATAGGGTTCAGAGGAGGGCTACTAAGATGATATATGTGATGGAAATGTTGTTATTCAAAGATAAGTTAAGATCCCTGATATTGTTTTCTCTTGAAAACATCTGATTGATGTGTTTAAGATTGTTAAAGGAATTGATAGTGTTGGTGCATCATTTTTTTCCCTAGCTAATGGTGAGAATGGTATGGCTACAGAACACAAATATACATTTTAGTAGGGTAGGAATCATCTTCAGCTAAGACAGTTTTCTTTTTCTAACAGGGTTGTTGGCCTTCAGATGTGGTGGGTACAATTAAATTAATAGTTTAAAAAAAGGCTTGATAAATATTTAAATGATAAGTACTGGTTTGGAATTTTTTTTATTTAGTTTAATTGGATGGGACAGCCTAGACTGACCAACAGGTCCCTTATTATCTTAAGATTTTGTTTTACAAAATATAACAGTAATCCTAAAACCCTGCTACACAGCCCTTCGCATGTGTTTATAAAATACTGTGCACTACAGTGTATAGAAAATGTATATAAAATTCTACACTACAGTCCCATACAACATGTGTATAAAACACTGCACTACAGTCTCATACATGTATTCATAAAATAGTGCACTAAGTCCCATACAATGTGTATTTATAAAACACTAAACAACAATCCCATACAACGGGTGTTTATAAAACACTACACTACAGTCCCATACAATGAGTTTATAAAACACTACACTACAGTTTCATACAACATGTGTATAACACACAGCACTACAGTCCCATACATGTGTTCATAAAATAGTGCACTGAGTCCCATACAATATGCGTTTATAAAACACTACACTACAGTCCAGTAACATGTAGTTTGTTTTTCAATTAACCTCAACTGCATCACTTTTTTCCACTCCTTTGTAGATCACTTTTATCACTTATTCGTTTGAAAATTTAAAATTACTTTTTTAATATTATGTTATTTAAGGTGTCATAGAATGAAGCATTTCTGTTACTTTTTTACCATCATATTTTCAATAAAAACTGAATTAGCTCTGATTAGTGTATGTAAACTTCAAAATTGTTCAGCTATTTTAGATCATCTGTGTGGTTTTAGATAAATGTTTTGTAATTTAAATCAAGCAAATCTTGATACACTGAATGTTTTAAGCATTTTAAAGTTATTTTTTATCTTAACAGTAAGTTTTTTTTTAAACGATGGTTAGCAGAAAGAGGTTTTGCAAACAAAAGATTTCTACTGGTCTTGCACATATAACAACAAAAATCTGATGATTTTATATATTTTAATATACAAAATGCTACATAAATATCAGAACCTTCTGATCCATGTTGCAACAACAGTGAAAAATTTCTATCTGAACATCATCAATTTATTATAAAATTAATTCTAACATTCAGATATTGAGTTTCCATGACTACACATAATGTAAAACACAAATATAATCACAAAAACACTTTAATTTTCATGTCCAAAGTTAATTAGATTAAATATTTGGTTTTATTTTGAATAATAAATGCTTATTAACTATGTAACTTTGTTCGCATGTTCTTTTACTTTAGTTGTAGCATTTAACTAGTAATTGCTAAAAATTAGTTGCAAAACTCTGCATCTCTACAGAATAGTTTTAAGCATGACAAATTATTCAATGTTTGGAAACATTAAATTTATATACAAATACTATCTCCCCAAATACCATTAAAATTGAACTATTCAATAAATCCTTCAAAAATTGGTGTAGATAAAACTGGTCAGATGAACCGAGAGAGTATTCAGCAAACCTGTTTTGTTGAACTATAGCCTAGTATAGGTTTTCTGTATTATTGTAATACACTACTTTCAGCCTGTTTCATTTAAGTTTTAACTACAGTCTTCCTGTAATACACTACTTTCAATTTCATCTATTTTGTATTTTATGAAATTCTGTAAATGCTTAACCACAGTTTCAACAATTGTTGGAACTTCAGCCATAGCACCATAACCACTATCACCACATGCCAACTTCTTGGCTACACAAGGCACCTCTATGTATCCAAGTTCTTTCAATTTTTCGATTTGGGTGACTGTTATCGGGTGATCCCACATATGGGTGTTCATAGCAGGGCAAAACACCAGTGGTTTCTTCATATCCCATGCCCTCACTACACATGTTAAAAGATTATCACAAATGCCACTGCTTATTTTGGCCATGGTGTTAGCATCAAGAGGAGATACCACGAGGACATCGGCCCATCGTCTCAGCTCAATATGCAACACTGGGTCACTCATTTTTTGCCAAGTTCTCCATTCATCTTCATCTCGCAGCACGTTCACTAAATCTTTAACTTCATCTAAAGGATAAAAGTGTAAGGCACGTTCTGTAGTAACGACTTGTAGATTAATTCTCAGTTCTGGAAACTTTGGAAGTTTTACTGCTTGTAACTGTCGAACAAGCAAAGGAAGTTTCAGAGCAGCAACACTACCCGTAACACCGATTAAAATGTTAGCTGTTTGAGACATTGGAGTGTCTTTATGGTTCATGATAACAATAATATATACAAACTTCAAGATTTCATGGGTGTAGTTGGCAGACAACAACTAAGCTAAAAAGAAAAGTTATATACTTCTATGATTTGCAGAAACCTAGTAACAATAACACCTACACGGAATACTTCTGAAATTTATCTTATCAACACTATCATATGCAGTACAGAATGAGTTTCGTGGTGACCCTCTACCGGTAGAATTACGTACCACTATATATATATATAATATATATATATAATCACTCACATAATTATTTTGATTAATCTTATTCTATTCCTGTAGTCTTTATTTTTAACTAGCATCGGCTAATAAATACGAATAAAATTAATTTCTATATATTTTTGAAGTACTTAGTATTATTAGTTATATTATTTGGATTTTGATG